AGTTGCAATATCCTGAGATATGGTCGCACGTTCCTCCATTTTGACAAGCACATAAAGATTCGCAACGCTCGCCGTATGTTCCCTCGGGGCATGGGTCTTCACAACTGGCCATCAAAATACTCCTTCAGACTCCAAAACATTTCCCCTGAATAGATGTGAACACGAAGTGTCTTACTAAGCTCCAATCCAGCCAGGAGCGCAAGTACAAATCCCAGAGACAGGGTCGCACATTGCCTCATTCTGACATAGACACGTCTCGCTGCAATCGAGGCCATGCGTCCCACGGCTGCAGGGTTCCTCGCAATGCCTTCCGATCCATCCTCGAAGGCAGATGCAGTTCCCGTGAATGGGATCGCATTGCGCCCCGTTTTTGCATTCGCAGTCATTTTGACATCCGGCTCCCCATTTCTTCACTCCACATGCTGCAAGGGTTATTAGGATAGTCTCTTAGAATGTTAGTTTTCATGAGTTCTTGCCTCCAGGAAGGAAACTAAGAAATACCATTTCAAATGTTATCCTCCATTACCGAACTCTCACAACGTATACACGGCAGTTGTTACGAACCCAAATTGATTTTAAAATGAGCCGAAATTGATTTTAAAATATTCTAGTTTACGTACCAGAGTCGCAGGATTCGCCTTCATAGCCAGGACGACACTGACATGAGTTTGGCTTATGGCAAACTCCCTTTACACACGCGGGTCTGCAGATTGGTTCACATTCGTCTCCAGTCTGGGCATATCCTTCGCAACATTCGGCCGTTGTTATCGTCTCTGCCATGGTCTACGAGGTGAAAACTGATGATCGTCTCTTAAGAAATCCCGTTCAGGAGGTTTCGAAATTGGATCCTTCCTTCAGACTTACCACTTGCTCGTAACCAATGCGGTAAGCAGTACTTGTCCTGGTGCACTTGGCCCGCATGAACCCGCAGTCATATTTCGACTGATACTCGTAAGGATTCAAAAAAGAAGCCATGACTGTCTTCGTTTGTCTGAAGGAATAGAAAACGAATTATTCTCATTACTCGATGAAAAAGCTTCCCCTTTTCTGCAAAATATTCATGGTAGTCTGGTGTTCTTCAGCTGTTAAAAGTAAGAAAGCGCACTTCTTCCCGTCTTCATTCAGATGTTATGACCTGTCTTTCAGTAACAATATGACTAAAAACACATTGTTCAAATAGTCATGCTGAATATCGATGCATAAGATTATTGGGGAAGTACCCTTAAGTTTCATCGGGAGAGAACAAATTCATCCCAAACAACCACTATTGATGGTAAGCGATAGACGTTCGAATGCTACATGGTTTGGGAGTAAAGATTTCTTTCCTGCCAGTACTCTCCTGGTATTATCAGTCATGCTATGCACATTACACTATTTACAGTGTAGATCTTTCCTCCTTAAGCGTGTATGATCACCCGCGAACTCAATTTTTTTCGCATGTGTTCAGATTTTGACGAGAATAGAGCTCAGGGAAAGTGGTGTCTCCACTCAAAAGGAGATGCAGTAACGAGGTCTTAAAGTTCTCCTCTGTTAGGAAAAGTGACTTCTCTGCATTACAACTTTTCTCTTTGATTAAGTTTCTAACAATTTATTATCTATAATCGATTAACAATTTTGAAAACGGAATATGGAAATACAGTTGATCTCAATTATAACAACATTGGTTATAACGACAAAAACTCTAGGTCCCGGCGTAGAGCCCACGTAAGTCACGTTACAATTTACTCCGATTATAGCGGGGTCGGGTATAGCGAAAACTTCGGTTATAACGAAGTTCATTCAAGGTCCCATTGAGGAAGTTAACAAAGTTCATATCTCTATTCCGTCATTCTTAAACGGAACTTCCAGCATCGGAAAAATGAGATTTGGCGAACGATAACTTTATTTTTCCTGTAATCGGGATTTATTTGAGAGTCATGTGGGTTTGGAGGAGGGTGAGTGAGGGATGATCCCCACCAACTAAAAAGGATAATCTCATCTTCACTCGCCAATGGCATTTCTGGCCTGTGGATAGTGAAAAAGGTCAGCCCTCACGATTGAAAGGAAAGTGTGCAGGATTAGTTTAATAAAAAGTGGTCGAAGTCAAGCTAACGTCGCTCGCGAACATGGACATGTGGTAATTTGTTTCCACAGTTTGGGAAAATCACGACAGCCTCCTTCGTGCTTAAGAGAACATGTCACAATGCAAGCAACTTCGCAGATCTGTCGAGATGACGTCAACGAGGCCTTGCTGAGTCATGAAGTGGTTCAAGGTACAAAAAGAAGCGCGAGCATCACGATTAGCAGGTCAAGCCTAAAACTATAGCTAGTTCGGCATAATCGATATATAACGGTGTTGAAACGTTATATAGCATTCTTTTTCTTTAACTGGAATAAGGGTAAAGGGAATTAGGTCAACCTCAGTTATAACGAACCTCGGTTACAACGGCGATTATTTTCTGGTTCCTTCGATGACGTTTTAACCGAGTTCGACTGTATCATGTTTGGCATGAAACACTGCTGAATCACATAGTACACATTTATATCAAAATTATTGCTCTAAGCACTTTAGATTTCTTTCTCTTTATAGGGGGAAAACTTAGGGTCATTAAGGAAAAAAATTCACATTGAGGGATTGGCTGCAAAATTTGGCTCAAATTAAAACGCAAAAATTGTTAATGTATAAAGTATATTGGCTCCAATGCGATGATTAGACCAACGATTAGTCTGTTCTCCATTCTCACCGTTATCCACATTATAATATTGAATTTCATGCAATTTTGATATCATCAAGGCAATCCAATTAATATTGGCCTCCAAAAATGCATATTCCTGTATGAAGTGGCATTCACTTTTTCTGGATTGCTCAAAATGCTAGAAGGCTTCAGTTGAAATATATAAAATTTTCTCCTGAACAATTTATGTAAAATTTATTCTACTAGACAACCTTCTTAAAGTTTTAGTTGCCCATTATGAGGAGTGGGGTGAGCGTTTGTTTAACATGCGGTCAGAAGGAGGATCATTCTTTTACAAAGAGTTTGGACGTTGTAGCTTGGTCTGATGGAAAGCGAAATTTATGACCTGAAACGAAAATCTGGAAAAATTCAAGAAAGCGCATCGACTTACCACCAATTTCGAAATGTGCGTGGTGCCATATGGAGAATAAGAAAAAAGGTGATTTCCCTCTTTAACAGGCTAATCTTTCGACCAAATACCTTGAACTGTTGACAGGGAATATAGCAAGGTTTTGGCAAGTTTTTGACAAAGCCATAAGATAATCGCATGCGAATCGAACATATTACCATATGGCTGATTGAAAAATCAAATTCGTAAATGAAATTTGTAACGAATTTTCGCCTAAGAGAGCAGTTCAAAATGTGTTTCCACCCTCTCGATTCTCTCCCATTCAGTCAGCCCAGAGTGTTTATGCTTGTAGCTCCTTCAAATCCCAGGCGTGGGATTCAAAGGGTTAACAAGGAGGTTGACTCCACAACCGCTTAGAAGTCCCTCGTTGAGAAAACAATCATTCTTCATTACTCAGTTCTTCATATATTGTACTCTTGAAAGGTCTCGCCGCCAAGCATGAATATTACCAAGTTTGGTCGCTGTTGGTTTTTGCGCACCCCTTCCTCCCCTTTTATACCGAGGGAATACGAATTCGGATTAGGCTCACTTTTCCATCCTGGAAGGAGTGAGTTCATGATGCACATTATTCCTGAGTCTCTGATCGGAGGACTTTTAAGCCCGATGATGAATGTTCAGATTGAGCAAGGTAAAATATATTCATAATTTACAGATTTCTTTTTCTGTGGAGTTCTTTAAAGAGACCTTTAAAGTACTGCACAAGAGTGGATGAATTCATATCATTTTAGTCTCATGGGAAAGAGTTCTACTGGAACCCTATGGGTGGTTATTGTTTTTATTTTCAATTACCGGAACCTGGTTGGCATTTAATCTAAATTGATGTCAAATGTTTACCTGAGCGAAATTCCAGGGTTGGAGAAGAAAAGAAATGAAGAAGCAGACACTCACGTCCTGTTTTGGGAGCATACATTTGGACCACTCAGTGCCGAAGTAGAACGGAGGAGGACGAACAAAAAGAAGCCAGTCGGGCTGAACATTCTGGCACGTTTGCTTTTATGCCCGTTTCCCTCGACGGCTCCGCATCTGGATGGATATTGAACTGAAATAGGCATGCAGTATAAGGCGATAAACTCTGGGGGCTGCGGATGGGCAGCCAGGCACTTGCTATGTGAGTTCACCGCTTTTGACAGCCGTTCTGCAGCTCATCCTTCTTGGACCCTAATATTACTTTCCGATAGTCTTGTTGCTTTTGTGGGCATTCAAAACGGAAGGAATCTTGCATATTAATTCATAAATTCGAAGCAACTATTGAAGCAAAAAGAGTTTCAAAGCGAACCTCAGACGAACATATAGTACTTTCTGAATAAATGCCCACTTTACAAGAGTTACCAGTCAATTCACTGTTTCTTATATGATCGGTTGTTTCGGCCTGGAGATATTCATTATGAATATATAATTTTGTGGTAGAATATTTTCATTCGCAAAAGTAAAAAAAAGGGAAGATATTCAGGTTGTCGAGCAATGTCATGAAAGTCCTTGTTAACCGAACTGCAAGAATATTTCTGCGCAAAATGAACCACTTCACTACTCGCAACGCTGAATTCACGCCAGCCGATACGATTCAACTGGTGACGATCGAACCAGGACAAAGAACATTGAAGACTACCGAACTGCAGTCAGTCTTTCCACGAGAGGAAGCCCTTATCGCTATTATCCACATCCAGCCTCAAGTCATATTGACGGTCATGTGGTCTGCTGACATCCCCTTCCTCCAGGTTTATTTCTCTAGAAAGGAACTGACTCATCGAAATTTATTGCGCTCCGACCACACTTTTCAGAATTTGTCCCGGACAAGCTTATGTTTAAATTAATGAAGATTCATGCACAGAGCTCTGGAGGGCACCGAGCATAGTGTGAATGTTTCATTATTCTTTTTTTTAGCCCTTCAAGTCGGTAATTTTTCTTCAAGCAATCCACCCTTTTTCGTTTGTCAATTCCTGAGATTTAACTGTGCCCCTTACACAAAGGAAAAACTTCCTAAATTATTATTACTCATCCTTTAATTTATTATGCATCTAATTTATTACACCTCGTGGCATTCACTCATTGCAATCAGCAAGGAGAGAGTACGCACTCGGGATATGTAATAATTACTGAGCGAATTTTTATGCGAATATATATATTTTCTGCAGCCTCCTATGAACATGCAAATCAGATAGGATCATGTCTCATTGATAGAGGAAGGCATTTATGCCATTTTAAAAAGGCATAAAAATGCATATTTTCACGTTTTTCTCAGCATTTGCATATTTTTGTATATCTGCGCATATTACGCCCATTTTTTATGTGAAAAATAAAGGTTTTCCAGGAAAATGTGCTTTCTTTATGAGCTATCGAGGAAAATTTTCATTCAGTTATGAAGTACGACCAGCAATGTAGCGGGGGGGGGGGGGGAGGCCCGAGGTTAGGAAATTCTTGTCCCCGTTTGTTTCCCTTAGCACTCCATTGGCGAATTCCTGGTTTCGCCGCTAGCTGTAACAAGTAGTAATGCAGTAGAGGCCTGTAATGTACATTGAATTTCCTTTTTCCGAAAAATTCCTACTGCATTTAAAAAAACGCTTTCGCATATTTTTTCATTTTCGTGCATATCTCATGCATATCTTGGCATTTTAAGCGCAAATGTATATGCACGAAAAACCTATAGGATCCATTAGAATCCTATAGGATCCCTAGAGGGCCTTATAGGTATCCTGACCTATAGAATTCGGGGAGGATATTTTGGGTTTCGAAACCCAGGCATTACGACGGAAAAGGGGACCGGAGTTAATATTGGCGCAGCATTTCGGTGTAAATAAAAAAACCGACATCAGGACATTGTTGATACCTGTCTCATTTCAACATTTAAGTAGTATTGGGTTAATGTGTCGGTGAATGCTCTTCAACATTTACTGTATATATGGTGAAACTTCAATGCCGTTACATCGTTGAACTAGTATTAATTTTGCTGCGCGGATGATGGAAACGCAAATGAAAGCGACAACTGGCTTTCATCCAAATTCGTGTCAGGCATTTATGCAATCCTCTTTGTGGAAAAATCTATTAAGATCCGTCTATTAATTTATAATCACGATACTTCTCCTTTTGTTGGCAAGGAGAAAGACTTGACCAACGAAAAAAAGTTTTTTTCAGAAAAACTTCCCACAGATATGCTTCCCCTTCACTATCGCTTCACAAGTGGCAACAAAATCGTAACATTGAAGTTCTCCTTGAAAACATACTGTAATAATAAAGTTCTGACATTATATTTTCTTCTGTTTTTGTTTCCTTACCCCACTATGCATATCCACCGTACTACATGCATATATGTCCGGTATGAGCATAGGAGGATTCGGGAATTTTGCCACTGCACCCTACGTCTATGAGAATAGGCTCATAGGTCATTCGGAAATTAGGAATTCTCTTTTTCTTCTGAGTCGATGATAGTCGTTCTTTGCACTAGATCACAAAATTATGGACATTCTTATCGTGTAGGAAAGGAACAAGGTTTTATTTTCACAGGTCAGCATTTTCTCCAAATTTCAACTCAACTAATGAGCAGTTACAACTGAGGGCAATACCATCTCAGCAAGAAATTTATATTGCCGCAGATGCTTTTCCTTCCTGCTCCTCCCTTCAATTCTGCTATCGACGAAAGAAAACGATATTTTCCTTATCAGCCACCCGCATTCCTCTCCTGTAGGAAGCGCCTGGAAGAATAGGATGATACGATTTACTTGTTCGGGACGTATTTATGAAAAAAATATTTCAGGGAACAATATACATTAAGGGAATCTAGTTTAATTAGTTTTACGTGCACGCAGTCTCAGTAATCCACTTCATTAGCTAATTATGGAATAGTTCCTCCTGATTTTCGGACTCCCCAGTTTCACAGGAAGAGCAGATTCCTCAGGGTATTAGCCGGTCATAGAGGTAGGAGGAGCCCAACATCATTACTCAAAATCTCGATACGGCCACTAACACCGATTCATGGACCTTGTGATGCTCGCCCTATATGGTCAGTATTGACAAATATGTAGTGTTATGCTGCACTTAAATTATCAGTTGTATGATGTTCCCTGTTCCTTGTTAAAGTATCTTTGTTTTCAAATTGTGCTACTATATGTGCTATCGTGCTGCACAAAATACAAAAAGAATTCGAGTAGATATTCATTTCCATGAACGAAGAGAAACATCTTACGAGTGGGTACTGTTGCTAATTCTTAACCATTGAAATCTCTGCTAATATACTCACTATAAGGTGCATTGTTGACCCGAGCAACTCTTCGTTCTATCCAGAACAAGAGGCCAGCCAGCACTAGGATGGAGAAGAGCGCCACTGCAATGCCAGCGATCAATCCCCAGCTGGTTGAGTCGAGGATCTCACTTGAATTGAAGATCTCAACTGACTGTGAGTTTGATTTTTGTCCACCCGAGAGAACTTCGCAATTGTCACCTGTCGGTGGGACTTAGGAGTGAACCGGTGGAATCAGAAAGGAAACGGGACCGCGAACTAAAGAAACCCGGTAAACCTTGAAAACCTGGCTTGCACGTGCAGCCTTTGATGTGATGACACTGGAAATTCCCATCGGGACAACGACATTCCGACCCACATTGCTCTCCAAAATATCCTCTGGACACGCTGGAAAGGATCAAATGGAATGTCGAGACACTAACAAGGGAAATGTCGAAAGGTTTGGAGCTGCAGACATACGTGACTCGCAATGAGGACTCATCCACCCAGAGAGACACGTGCATTTTCTGTTTTCAAAGTCGCACTGGCCTTCGCCGCTGCAATTGCAATTGCAATTTCCTTGACATCGCAATTGGAAAAGATCGTGGAGACAGAAGGAATCACATATTTTCCCCGTGTACCCGGGCTCACACACGCACTCTCCAGTCTCTTTGCGGCACGTTCCTTGATAGTTGAAATGAAGCCGTCATTCCTAATGTGTACGATTATACATGGCAAGTCTAACATCACATGGGTGATATATAGCTTCAGTTGCGCAGCTGCATTGACTGCTAGTACCCGACACAAGGACCCAAATTGAAGCTCCATTTTCTCTGTTTCTGCCTTCAGTAATGTCATCGACGATCAAAGTCAAATACTGCCACCCCCTCACACCGAAAAATGACACTGATGTTTTGTAGTAAATACCATTGGTTAACAGCAAGCAAACCGTGTTACATGTGATATTTTTTGGCGCACCTTTTTTTGGCGCCATCTAGTGGCCTAGAGGAGAACTTTAAACGGAACCCTATAGGCCTATAGGGTTCCGTATAAGCCCTATAGGGAACACTATAGGCACTATAGGGAACCCTATTGGTCCTATAGCGAACCCTACAGGTCCTATAGGGAACCTATAGGCCTTATGGGGAACCCTATTGGTTCTATAGGGGGCTCTATAGGTTCTATAGGGAACTCTATAGGTCCCAAACTGAACTCTATGGGGCATATAGGAACTTATTGGATTCCTTTAGGTTCCTATAGGATTCTTATAGGATTCCTATTTATATTCCTTTAGGAATACATAGGAATCCTATAAGACATTTTCGTAAGGGCGGGGAGGCTTATTGTGTTTCAAATCCTTAGCATTAGAATAGGAATGACCATCGGCGTCAATATTGGCCCTGGGTTTTTGGTGTAAATTAATTACCGAATAGGGTTTCTCCCATCTTAGGTTCATTTATATTTCTAGCACTAGTACATCCAACACCTGCATAACCTCTTGCTCATGCGTATGTGGCTCAAGAAAGTGCAGGATTGCGCGAATCACTTCATTCCTTAGAGAGTAGGATTATTTTCCTGTCTGCCTAAGGAAATGTCAGAGAAAGCCTTCGATAATAATTTCATTACTGTATCTCCTTTCCGATAGAACGGAACTTTCCGACGTACGGGGTTCTCATGAGGGAATTCTGTATGAGGGAATTCGAGCTGATTTCTGGCCTGGATGCCATAATTTTTATCTTGAATATGCGGCTGAAAAATAATAAAGTGTCCAAGTTAATTGATTGCTACAATGAGGTGAAGCGGGACATTCGGGGAGGTACAAAACCCTCCTGTGAGAGATGATTCCCTGGATAGAAGGGAGGGCACTTTTGTGTACTGTGAGAAATGCTAGACCCATACCGACATCTAGTGGCCTAGAGGAGAACTTCAGAAGGAACCGTATCGTTTATAGAGGGAATGACTCCTAAACTGTATGTTCATATTGGATTCCCATATATTCCTTTAGAACTCCTTCATACATTTTCGTCAGGGTAGCAGCCAGGGAAGATTCGTGTGGAATGCTTCGCGAGAGAGAGAAACGAGGAGTCCTTAGCTTGGCAAGACACCTCGAGAGGCAGTGAAGTTCGGAAACTATTTTACGGTATATTTCATATACGAGTAGCAGAGGTACCATGCGTTGCACGGGTGAATATTATATATGTCCCCCATATTTCTCCACTGAATTAGGTACCCCGGGGCAAGGCTGGATTTAGAGGCAGGCGACTCAAGCAAGAGGGAAGACGCTTCTCGTCTGGGACGTCATTTCATCAAGGCCGGTCCTGGCCCGGGGCATACACATTATTTTACGTCAACTAGGATGGATCGAGATTTGGTCCAGGGATGGACCAAATGAGGAAGCCATGGAAGGTTTTTTCGGACTAGGATCAGAGGCGTACCCGTTCATAAAGGACAGACACACAAACGCTCTGAAATATAAGTGCTATAGATATAGATGTATGTATATGTTTTATGCGTGTTATCGTCGATGAAATATTTAACCTGTAACTTTGCCAGATGAAACTCTAGGAGGAATCTAAGAAGCAGCGAAAATCATGAATGACCCAGTTCTTCCCTGCCACTTTTTATTGTTTTGGGTTCGTCTTATGGAAAAGAAAGGGAAGATCGGAGGTGGATGATGTCACGGTCGTTTGAGCGAGGCTAGAGCCCTACGCGGGTCGACGCGATCCGGGTATCTCCTCGATTTGGGTTTGGTCGAGCTGTCTGGACTTGCAGTTGTCTCGGGTGTCGAATGTAAGAGTACTTTTGACACCTCAGTACAAGTACTTGCTAGGAGAGTTTTGTCCAAGGCGTAACATCCCAATTTTTAGAACACGGGAGAATATTGCCGATGCTAAGTGTGCCTTGGGTCGCGCGTTATGGCCAATGGATTGAGAAGGACCGTGTTCCAAGTCGCGAAGAGGTCTCGAGCTTGGTCGACGACCAGGTTTTGTTTTTACTGGATGGTTCGGGCAGGTTCATCGAAGCCAAGTTCAGAACTCTACGTTGCTGTGAAGGTCGGAATCTCTTATATATCAGCAATTCATTAATTTTAAATGGAAAGGAATGCCGAGAGGAAATTTCTAACCATGAAAGAGTCATTGTCCCAGCAGATCTTTAAGCAACTGAGAGGATTCTGGATTACTGGATTACTGTATTACTTACCTGACTCTGCAATACTTGTTAGAAAAACGATTCCCTTGAGGTCAGAAAATTCAGCTCCACATTCCTTTAAATTTGAATACCCCCCCCCCCCCCCCCTTTGATAGCACATTGAAAAGACCTTAATCGATGCTTTCAATCATCGACAAATAAGTTGAACATTTTCCATTCTTCAAAGACATTTCTCCGATGGAAGAAAGGAAGGGTGTATGACAACTTGAAGTACCTCAGGCCGGAAACTTTTTGAACGGTCCTCGTTCAGTCTCTGCCTGTATACAATGGGATTCGGGAAAGTGATCTCATATTTTTATTACAAGAATAACACATTTGCGATCGATTTCGTCGTGCCTACAATGTGCAATATGTTTTTCGGAATTATTCGTAACAATTTTTATGACTGCGTTCACTCGCCAAGCCTGAGCGAATCTTCGTGAATTCCGGAACTTTGGCTTTGGGCAGTGATGCCGGGCGCCTTGGGACGCCTTCGCAGCGGAGAGAAGCACAAGCTTGCGAAACGTTGGAGTCTGCGACGTTTCAACGAGTCGATCTCAGAGCACGGCGCAGAGTTTGCGGTGGGTCCTTGCGAGCAGCGCGGGTTGCCTCCGTGGAATGCGTGGCTGCGCGAGGAACTCCTTCTGGACGATCGACAGTTTTTCCTCCAGGCAGCAGACCTTCCGTTCCAAAAGGGAGAGTTGGGTCTGAACTTGAGCGTGATCCGCACGAAGCAGAGCCATCTGCACGTACTCGACTGCATCCAGAGAGCCTTTCCCACGACCTGGAAGCGTCGCCTCTTCGAACGGATGACTGATCGCTTCTGGTGCAGGCTCTGGTGGCGGAGGAGGGAATTCAATGGGGACCTGATTGTCGTCCTTTTGGAGGATGGCACCCGCGACCCAACGGCCGAGTGAGAATACCTCTCTGTCGAGGATTTTTCGCGTTCTGTGACCTCGGATCGAGATCGCGCCGGTCGTGTAATGCATCTCCACGGAGATGTATTTGTGGCGACGTTTCTCTGAATCGTTCGCCTTCTCGAACACGCGGAATCGCGTCGAAATCAGAGTCACCCTTCTGCACCCTTCTGCATCGAAAGGAACGTCAATCGGCAAACGCCGCGTTCCTCGCTCGTCGCTCGATCTGTCCTCCCATCTGACCTCGAATCGATCGGTCGAGCCGGGGCGATCGAGGTAACGCCTGAAAAGGGCCTCACGCCAATGCGCGACGAGAGATGGGTCGGTTCTGATCGTGACCTTTTGCACTTCGTCGCTCGGTTCGACTTGGGCCTTGATTCTCGATAGAAGGTAGGCGATCGTTTTCAGAGACAGCGATTGGAATTCTCGGCTCGTTGAACCGTTCTGCCTCGCTTCCGCCATCTTCCGAGACTTCCCGCGACCAATCGGTCGACGCTGCGATCCGGAATGGACTCCAATTGAGTTTAGTCCCAGGCAACAGGAGATGACGCCCTTTCGCCCTGGATTCCTCTTTATTCACTCGATTTCGAATTTGAAGATCCTCAGAACACAAATGAGGCCCTGAAGTGACCACCACACGGATGATAAGAAGGAGAAGCCAGATGTCCGTTTCGCACTCTCTCCTCTTTTTGTTTAAATTCCTCTTAACTATGGAAGCCTTGCAATTCCTGAAGAAATGAAACAATAAGAACCAATAATCCCTAACGAAAATGTCAGAAGGAATTCTAGATAAACATATAGGAATCCTAAAGGTTCCTTATAGGACCTATAGAGTTCCGTTTGAAGTTCTTCTTTAGGTCACTAGGTAGATGCCTGTGGTTCACGCATTCCTCACAGTACTCAAAAGTGCCCTCCTCTTTACCCATGGAATCATATCTCACATGAGTTTTTTTTACCAATCGGTATGTCTCGCCTTGCCTTATTGTAGCAATAAATGAACTAGGACACTTCCTTATTTGACATACCCATATTCCAGATAGAATTATGGAGTCCAGACCAGAAATAAACTCATATTCCCTATGAGAACCTCTTACGAGAGTGAGATTTACCTTATTCGGTAGGACTTCCCTTACGAAAATGTCTTATAGGATTCCTATATATATATTCCTTTAGGAATATATAGGAATCCTATAACTTCCATATAGGGCCAATAGTGTTCGCTTTTGAATCAATAGGTCTCCCTTTGGAACCTGTAGGTCTCCCTTTAAAACCTATAAGACCTATTGTGTTCCGTTTGAAGTTCTCCTCTTGGCTACTAGATGGAGGTATAGTGTTCTCGCATTTCTCACAGTACACAAAAGTGCCCTCCCCTTACCCATGGAATCATCTCTCACAGGAGAGTTTTGTACATCCCCATATGTCTCGCCTTGCCCCATGTAGCAATGAATAAACTTCAACACTTCCTTCTTTGTCATCCCCATCTTCCAGATAGAATCATGGAGTCCAGGCAAGATATATGCTCATATTCCCTATGAGAACCACGTATGGAAAAAAGTGTGACCGATCCGATAGAGTT